AGGTATGTTACATATGTATTAATGTGTGTGTCTCAATTTTGTAGCTTTGTCCACTAAAAATACCTGAAAATAGCAATCAGTCCAGTTGCAGTAAGCTTTTTAGTGCCTAAATTGTGGTCTTGAAATAACCATTTCCACCTAAAAGAAGGCTTCCCAGATAGCTCAGCTGGTAAAGAATCCACCTGCAATGAAGGAGACCCTGGTTTGATTCCTGGGTTGGAAAGTTCCCCTGTGAAGGGATAGGCTCCCCACTCCAGTATTTGTGGGCTTCCCTGGTAGCTCAGACAGTAAAGAGTCTACCTGCAGTGCAGGAGACCTGGGTTCAATCCCTGGGTTGGGAAGATCCCCTGGAGGAGGGCATGGCAACCCACTTCAGTATTCTTTTTTGTTTTTTTTTTTTGGAGGTGAAGGGATTGTTGAGCAAAAACCACTACAATATTGTAATTAGCCTCCAACTAATAAAAATAAATGAAATAAATAAATAAAATAAAAATTCACTTCAGTATTCTTAACTGGAGAATCCCCATGGACAAAGAAGCCTGACAGGTTACAGTCCATGAAGTCACAGTCAGTCAGACACTACTGAGCGACTAAACACACACACACACACACACCTAAAAAACCTGGCTTCCTTGGAGATACGATGACAGGCCAGAGGCTGAAATGTACAAGAAGAACTAGGAACATCATGTCTCGCAGTTAACAAGGAAGCCCACAAAGACTGCTAAGCTGATTGGTCACATACATAGAACATTTGAGAGCTATTTTTTTTTTTAACTGCTAAAGAAAGTATTCCATTAGTATTTGTTATATGCGCTATACCACTGAGTTACCAAATAATTGATGTGGTCATGTTTCTCTTTATGGAATTATTTCAGCAAATAAGTGAAAAGGGAGTGAAAGAACTAGAATATCAACATTATCCAGTCCCCAGTGAATTAATCTAGTCATTGAGCGTCTGTGGCTGCTATCATCATAGGAAAAGACAACTAAATAATTAGGTGCTTACTGATGAAAATAGACCTGTAGATGATTTTACTCAAAAAATGAACCTATTTGAGTAAACACAGAGAAGGGTCAGCAATTTTATTCTGTGAAGAGCCAGATAGTGAATAGTTTAACCTTTGGCCGCCAGATGGTCTCTGTCACAACTCAACTCTGCTGCTGTATCATGAAACCAGCCGTAGAGAATACATAAACTAATAGGCATTGCTGTGTCCAGTAAAACTTTATTTTTAAAAACATGCCTCAAAGCAACGGTTTTTGACCTTTTCACCAGACCAACTACTGATTTACTGGAATCATAAATGACAGAAAAAACTGAAATAAACTTAGGGAATGTGGATATCAAAATCAAAACCATGGGAAACTGTAGGACAAATGGTGGGGGTTCGTCAACAAGTTATAAGGGAAAAGATTGGGAATTTAGTTTTTGAAACTCAGAACTATATCATATACTTAGGGAGGAAGACAGGTGAGAAGATTGAAGAAAATTAACATAAATATGGCTCTTGGGAGGGAGTGAAGAGGTTTTGACTTGGGAGGGAGGCTGTGAAGTGCTGAGGGAGTTGATAGTCCTGTCTCTTTTCATGTCTCTTAAAAGGCACAAGGATATGTGCCTTTTAATTGGCTAAACTATACATCTATCTATAAATTTTCTGCATTTGTTTGCATTCGACATTAAAAGTTTTAAAAGAAAGTTGAAATATTTGAAAAAGTCACCAAGCAAATAGTAACCAAAAAAACCAAAGGTACACTTGTGATACAAAATGCGTTACTAGAGATAGAAAGACATTTCATAAGAACATTTAAGTATTCTTAGTCTGTATGTACCCCATAATATATCTTAAAATATAAAGCAAAAGTTGATAGATTAAAAGGAGAATTATATAAATCTATAGTTACAGCAAGAAACTTTGAAGAAGTATATGCAAATAGCTATAAATATGTCTGTGAAAAATATGGCTTAGTATTTGAAAGACTTTTCTTTGTAATGAGGTCATCTGTTTACTCAGAAAAGTGCATATTTATTGGAAATATGTTTAAATCTTACATTTTAATTTGGGGTATCATTTTACCTTATCTTTAAATTTACAAAATAGGTGTCTTCTCACCAAATGGTCTAAGTCTTGATTTTTTTTTTTTCTAATATTAAACTAAAGTTACATTTTAACTTCAAATATTAATCACTGGACTTTTCCTACTGCTGGAAACAATAATTCAGTGATTAGCTACTACCCCATTTTTAGTAGTGTTCAGTGAGTTTTGAAACTGACTTAATTACTATTTGCATATGGTTTAGATTTTGCTGACCTTTCTTCCTTTTTTAAACAGGGGTTCTGAAGGAAAATTAAATGACTGTCAGATAAGATTCATAAATGAAATCTTCAAGATCGAGAAACCTGGAGCCCATCCTCTTTCATTGGCAGATGGAAAGTTTTTAAGTATGGATCTTTCTTACGGGCCGAGACTGCATGTATTGTTCAGGATTGCCATTTTGACTGGCCAGGGAATGACTTTTGAGGAAGTACAAAACTAAAGACCATGCAAATTTATTTTCAAGACAGCCATTTTGATATAAGATCATTTTGGTTTAATGGATTTTTCTCAAATGATAAAATTTGTTTTCAAAGACTATTTTCTCATCTTGGGATTTTATTGCCATTTTCTTGCTGTTTCCTTTATTATAGAGTCTGTCCTAATAAAAAAACCCACTTTGGTAATGGGGCCATTTAAGATTAATATTTAATAATGAGGCTTATTTTTATACTAGTAGAGCCTGAGAAGAATAATGCTGGTTGAGCCCTGAATTTCTGGGAGGTAATGGATGGTTTATGTAATCGTTAGAATGTAGCCTCATCTCCTCATTGTGTGTAACATAATTTCATGCAGCTAGTTGGTAACAAAGGTAGGACTAAATTCTATATCTTTTCCTTCATAGTTCAGTTGCTATCTTTCCAAATAGGTTGCAATGTTTCATACTCTGTTAATTTTGATTTGTGTGTGTGTGGAGAACAATTCATTGACCTTTTGCCATGTGTCCATGTCAATGTCTCATATATTCTGGCAAAAGACATATTCAAGATTAAAGAGTCCTGCCTATCCTCTTAACCACAGTTGTGCAGAATTAGAACAAGACAAGTCCTTTAACAGATTAATTATTAGACTTCCATGTTACTGGTTTAAGCCATACTCATTTTTTGAGACTGCAGTGCTAATACATCTAGACTTGAATTAAGAACTTTAAGGCATACTGTGTATGATTGTATGGTTGTATTCTAGGAATAAGGGTAACTTGTTGAGTAAACTTATTTAATGTGACTTGCTGTCAGTAAAACACAAAAGAAAAATTGACTAGGTTTTTCTTGTGTTTTCTCTCTCAGTATATCTGCATATATATGTTCTTTGCCCAATGCTAATCATGTTATAGCTACAACTTTGAACTCCTGTGTAAGGAAACCATTTTAGAGCCACAGCCAGACTGCCATTGATCTCTCTAAGCCAGAAATCTAAACATACCTTTGGCAACATGTCATTCTAGACATCTTTCTTTATCTATATAATTCATCTTTGTGTGTTTATACAGTTTTGTATAAAAAATTTATTCTGCAGTTTCATTTTGGTGATCTCTATATTATAGTTATTGTAAATTTACCTCATTTTTCATAAAATTTATCCAACTGTTACTCTTTTGATACTTAAATTTAACTTTTGCTGTTAGCATTACTATAAGACTTTTGTGTATATATGTTCATTTTATAATTTCAGATGAACATTTTGGCAAAAAGTACTTTGGATTTAGATGGAAGAGACTGGCAGAGGAGGGGTGGGCAATAAGTGGAACCTGTTAGTTGCCAGAATTCTGAACCAACAGATAAACAAGATTAAAAAAAATCAACTGTTAGGTACTGTATTTACTAATAAAGAGTATGTTGGGTGCATAGCAAAACCAAAATAGATTTGCTGACTTCTAACAGGTGCACCCCTCCTAGTTTAGTCCACCTAGGGAAAGGTTTGGATCCGCAGAACAGGTGTTACCTAACACTTCCATTTCCGAACAACTTTGTTCAGTTATTTCACTGGAAATTTTAATCTATCTTATGATGCCCCATGAGTTCACTGTATAACCCCTATGCATCTTGAAGCACATTTGGGGAATATTAAAGTCTTGAACTGAATTATTCTATATGGTTCTTTTTGTTTAAAAAAAAAAAAGCTGTGTGCTATTCTCATGGGTTTTTCTTTATAAAATTCATAGACATAAAAATGATTTTAAGACTGGGCTTGCTATAATTTTGTTCTTAATAGGGAAAAATGACCCTGAATGTGACTCTTGTGGTGGAGACCCAAATAAGAAATGCCGTTCTTGCTCCTGTCATGTATGTGGTGGAAAACAGGAACCCAACATGCAAGTTCTATGTGATGAATGTAACATGGCCTATCATATTTACTGCCTGAATCCTCCTTTGGATAAGGTCCCTGAAGAGGAATACTGGTATGATTATCAGGGGATTTTTGTTGTTACTATGTAAGAACTGAATGTGCAATATGTATTTGAAGCCCCGAAAGTAGATTTCTAAAGATACAAATGTGTAAGGGGTGGATTTATTGAGAGAGATACATGTCTTCTCCTGGCAGAGATGCGGTCCATCTCAGAAGACAAGTGGCCTACATAGTATATACTGAAGTGCTTAAAATTGTATAACTAATGGTTATTTGGCATTGGTACCTTTATTCAGTTACTACAACAGCTTCTGAACTGATCTCTCACTCCCGTTTTTTTTTTTTTTTAGTTGGAGGCTAATTACTTTACAGTATTGTAGTGGTTTTTGTCATACATTGACATGAATCAGCCATGGATTTACATGTATTCCCCATCCTGATCCCCCCCTCCCACCTCCCTCTCCANTGTATTCCCCATCCTGATCCCCCCCTCCCACCTCCCTCTCCACCCAATCCTTCTGGGTTTTCCCAGTGTGTTTTTTAATCCCTCCAGTCCATTCTCCAATATGAGTCTGTGTTCTTTCAAAAATGCAAATTTGATAATTACTCCTTTGCTTCAGATGCTTTACATTACTGTAGAGAGCCTTGCACAGTGTTTTTTAGTTGATTTTTCCTTCTGTATCTCTTACCACTTTCCTCTTTTATTTTCCAAAGTGCTCCCTATATGACTTCATGCAATGATGAGACTTTAAATACCGAGCAAATGGTTCAGAATTTATATTTTCAGACCCAGTCTTACCTGAACTTTATGTTCCTATATTCAACTGCTTGCTTGACTAGCATTACAAAATTAGTGACTCCGAGTGGAGATCTTGATTTCCACAAACATATCCTCTGAAATCTTACTCCTCACTCAGTCTTCAGTAAATAATACCATTGTTTCATCCACCTGTTGAGGAAAAAGCTGAATTTCATTTCATTTCTCTCTTCTCCTTCGTCACATACTCTTTTAAGATTTGCTAATGTTATTGGATGTACAGTTCTACTCTCATTACCAAGTTCAACCACCATCTTTACCCTGAACTGTATGCATGTGTGCATGTATGCTCAGTTGTGTCTCATTCTACGACCCCATGGACTGTAGCCTGCCAGGCTCCTTTGTCCATGGAATTTTCCAGGCAAGAGTACTGGAGTGGGTTGCTGTTTCCTTCTCTGGGATCTTTGCAACCCAGGAATTGAACCTGAGTCTCTGGCATCTCCTGCATTGACAAATGGATTCTTTACCAGCTGGGTCACTAGGAACTCTATAGTGAATGCACAGCTAGTCTTCTTGCTTTCACATTGTCTACCAGCTATCCTTCTTGCCATAGCAGCAGAATGATCTAAATCCTGAATCAGAATACTCACCTGTTTAAGACCCCTAATGTCTAACTGTTGAATTTAGGATAAAATCTAAACCCTTGCTGTCCATGAACCAACCTCTGCCTACTTTCAGTATTCTTCAGAACATACCATTCCTTATTGTGCCTCAGGACCTTTACACTTAATGTCTCTTTGCTTGGACTCTTGATAGGTTTGGCTCTTCTAATCTCATCTGGAATAGCACTAACCGTGATGTATCTCCTTTATCAGTCAGTTCAGTTCAGTTGCTCAATCATGTCCAACTCTTTGCAACCTCATGGACTGCAGCACACCAGGCCTCCCTGTCCATTACCAGCTCCCGGAGTTTACTCAGTCTCATGTCCATTGACTTGGTGATGCCATCCAACCATTTCATCCTCTCTTGTCCCCTTCTCCTGCCTTCAATCTTGCCCTGCATGAGGGTCTTTTCAAATGAGTCAGTTCTTCACATCAGTTGGCCAAAGTATTGGAGTTTCAGCTTCAGTTTCACTCTTTCCGATGAATATTCAAGACTGATTTCCATTAGAATGGACTGGTTGGATCTCCTTACAGTCCAAGGGACTCTCGAGAGTCTTTTCCAATATCACAGTTCAAAAGTATCAATTCTTCAGAGCTCAGCTTTCTTTCTAGTCCAACTCTCACATCCATACATGACTGTTGGAAAAACCAAAGCTTTGACTCGATGGACCTTTGTTGGCAAAGTGATATCTCTGCTTTTTAATAAGCTGTCTAGTTTGGTCTTAACTTACTTCCAAGGAGTAAGCGTCTTCTAATTTCATGGCTACAGTCATCATCTGCAGTGATTTTGGAGCCCCCCAAAATAAAGTCAGCCACTGTTTCCCCATCTATTTGCCATGAAGTGATGGGACCGGATGCCATGATCTTAGTTTTCTGAATGTTAAGTTTCAGCCAACTTTTTCACTCTCCTCTTGAGGCTCTTTAGTTCTTCGTTTCTGCCATAAGGGTGGTGTCATCTGCATATCTGAGGTTATTGATATTTCTCCCAGAAATCTTGATTCTAGCTTGTGCTTCATCCCAGCATTTCTCATGATGTACTCTGTATATAAGTTAAATAAGCAGGGTGACAAATTCACAACCTTGACGTTCTCCTTTCCCAATTTGGAACCAATCTGTTGTTCCATATCCATTACTAACTGTTGCTTCCTGACCTGCATACAGGTTTCTCAAGAGGCAGGTCAGGTGGTCTGGTATTCCCATCTCTTTCAGAATTTTCCAGGGTTTGTTGTGGTCGACACAATCAAAGGCTTTGGCATAGTCAATAAAGCAGAAGTAGATGTTTTTCTGGAACTCTCTTGCTTTTTCAATGATCCAACAGATGTTGCAATTTGATCTCTGGTTCCTCTGCCTTTT